TGGGCTTCTAGGGACAGGCTCGGTGTGCTATCAACCCCAAGAACTTGCTCTCAGTTGATTCTTGCAGGATTTCACCTCCTAGATGGTACCTTGTATTCAGCCTCCTGCTTCCTTCGCCTAATTTTATTACTTTACACTTTCCTGAGTTGAACTTTAGTAGCCATTTTCTAGACCATTCCTCCAGTTTGTCCAGGTCATCCTCTAGTCTCTGTCTATCTTCGTCTGTCTTGATTATTCTCATAATTTTAACATCATCAGCAAACATTGAGAGGAATGAGTCTATACCCTCCGGAAGATCGTTTACTCCCTACATTAGAAACAGTATGGGTCCAAATACAGAGCCCTGTGGGACTCCGCTGGTGACATCTCGCCACTCTGATGTCTTCCCTCCCTCACAGGTATTCGCTGTTTCCTGTTGCTTAGATATTCCCTTATCCACTGGCACATTTAGTGCTTCTGCACTCTCTGAGGTGTGTGTGTATGTGTAGATGTATTCACCTACCTGTACTCGCCTAACTGAGCTTTGGCTCTTTGGTCCCGCCTCTCAACTGTCAATCAACTTATGTACAGGTTCCTGAGCCTTACTATATAGTAGTCCTTTGGAAACAGGGTATGTTATGACTCCTGACAATTTTGTTTCTGTGAGTCCTTTTACATCTGGGGTTTCTTCCTGAGCCCTTTCTGCCAGTTCACTTGTTATATTAGGAATCCCATTGATGTTTGAGTACATTACCTTAAAGGTCACTTTCCTATATCCATTTTCACCCACTCTTCCCACTAGTGTATAGTGGGGAACACTATACTCCTGTATCAAGGAGGAGGACACTATAATTCTGTATCCCAAGGAATACCTTTCCGTTTGAGTGTGTGTGAGTTTGTGTGTGTGAATATTGACCCACAAACAGCTCTTGCAAGACCAGAGATCAAAGGTGATGGTGTAAACATAGACTTCTTGTTCATTTCCCACAATTACTGTAGAATAGCAAGAATATAAGAGCGTCGACACACAATAACAATGAGAAGCCTCCGCAAAGCGAGTATTGCGAGACTGTAATTGAAAGAGGAGAGAATATGATCTGAAAGGTTCTTATATCAGCCAACTCGTCACCAGCGGCAGGAGACAAAGAAGCGAAGCAATTTTCCAATGCAAAGCCAATAACTCAAACTTAAAAATAGTGTCATGTTAACTCCTCAATCAGCAATCTAGTGAAATGCATGAAGAACTGTGACAGAGAGGACGCTTACCCAGATATGAAAGTAGTCTTATGGAAGTGCAAACTAAGACTTTTGTAGGGGAGAGTTAACAGAGAAGTGAAATATGCTTTGAACTGATAGACACACGAAGTGTCCTGACATCTAATGACATCTATACAAGTCATCTGGCATGACTTGTATCTGGCCTCCTGCTCCCTGCACCTATCTTCATTACATTACATTTTATTGGGTAAAACTCTAACAACCATTTGTTCGACCATTCCTGCAGTTTGTCTAGGTCTTCCTGAAGCCTCAAGCAGTCCTCCTCTGTCTTAATCCTTTTCATAATTTTGGCAACATCAGCAAACATTGAGAGAAATGAATCTATACCCTCTGGGAGATCATTTACATATATCAGAAACGAGACAGGACCGACTACAGAGCCCTGTGGGACTCCACTGGTGACTTCACGCCAATCTGAGGTCTCGCCCCTCACCGTAACTCTCTGCTTCTTATTGCTTAGGTACTCCTTTATTCACTGGAGCACCTTACCAGCTACACCTGCCTGTCTCTCCAGCTTATGTACCAGCCTCTTATGCGGTACTATGTCAAAGGCTTTCCAACAATCCAAGAAATGCAGTCTGCCCAGTCTTCTCTTTCTTGCTTAATCTTTGTCACCTGGTCGTAGGCCTGAATTCTATTCAGCCAGTCAGGCAAGATTTACCCTCCCTGAACCCATGATGGCGATTTGTTACGAAGTCCCTTCTCTCCAGATGTGTTACTAGGTTTTTTCTCACAATCTTCTCCATCACCTTGCATGGTATACATGTCAAGGACACTGGCCTGTAGTGCAGTGCCTCTTGCCTGTCGCCCTTTTTGCATATTGGGATCACATTCGCCGTCTTCCATATTTCTGGTAGGTCTCCCGTCTCCAGTGACCTACTATACACTATGGAGAGTGGCAAGCAAAGTGCCTCTGCACACTCTTTCAGTACCCATGGTGAGATCCCGTCTGGACCAACAGCCTTTCTAACATACAGATCCAACAGGTGTCTCTTGACCTTCTTTCTCATAATTTCGAACCCTTCCAAGGCCGCCTGGTTTACTTCCCTTTCCCCTAGAACAGTGACCTCACCTTGTTCTATTGTGAAGACCTCCTGGAACCTTTTGTTGAGTTCTTCACACACCTCTTTGTCATTCTCTGTATACCTGTCCACGCCTGTTCTAAGTTTCATTACCTGTTCCTTCACTGTTGTTTTCCTTCTGATGTGACTGTGGAGTAGCTTCGGTTCGGTCTTGGCTTTGTTTGCTATGTAATTTTCATAATTATTTTCTGCTTCTCTTCTCACCCTGACATACTCATTCCTGGTTCTCTGGTATCTCTCTCTGCTTTCTCGTGTTCTGTTATTCCGGAAGTTCCTCCACGCCCTTTTGTTCAGCTCCTTTGCTTCCATACATGCACTATTATACCATGGATTCTTGTTTTGCTTCTCGGATTTTTCCCTTTTTGGGCTGGGATGAACCTGTTTACTGCCTCCTGACACTTTTGGGTAACATAGTCCATCATGTGTTGTATCGACTTAGCTCTGAGGTCTGTGTCCCAAGGTATTTCCCTTAGGAAACTTCTCATCTCCTCATAGTTCCCATTTCGGTATGCCAGCCTTTTGTTTCCTAGTTCTTTTTTGGGGGAGATAATTCCTAGCTCTACCAGGTACTCAAAGTTCAGTACACTGTGATCATTCATTCCCAAGGGTGCTTCTGTCTTAATTTCCCTTATATCGCACTCATTTAGGGTAAATATCAGATCGAGCATTTTTGGTTCATCTTCTCCTTTCATTCTTGTTGGTTCCTTGATGTGCTGGTTTAGAAAGTGTCTTCTTACCACGTCCAGCATCTTAGCTCTCCTAGCTTAGTTGTATGTGTGTGTGTGTACTCACCTATTTGTGCTTGCGGGGGATGAGCTTTTGCTCTTTGGTCCCGCCTCTCAACTGTCAATCAACTGGTGTACAGATTCCTGAGCATACTGGGCTCTATCATATCTACATTTGAAACTGCGTGTGTGTGTGTGTGTGTATGTGTGTGTGTGTGTGTGTGTGTGTGTGTGTGTGTGTGTGTGTGTGTGTGTGTGTGTGTGTGTGTGTGTGTGTGTGTGTGTGTGTGTTTACTAGTTGTGTTTACTAGTTGTGTTTTTACGGGGGTTGAGCTTGCTCTTTCGGCCCGCCTCTCAACTGTCAATCAACTGTTTACTAACTACTTTTTTTTTCCACACCACACACACCCCAGGAAGCAGCCCGTGACAGCTGACTAACTCCCAGGTACCTATTTACTGCTAGGTAACAGGGGCATTCAGGGTGAAAGAAACTTTGCCCATTTGTTTCTGCCTCGTGCGGGAATCGAACCGCGCCACAGAATTACGAATCCTGCGCGCTATCCACCAGGCTACGAGGCCCCCAGAGGTGGGGGGTGGTGGAGGCCTGGGGGTGGAGGCCTGGTCGAGGACCGGGCCGCGGAGACACTAAAAAGCCCCGAAATCATCTCAAGATAACCTCTCAAGATATCATTCCTTCGGCTCATTCATATCATCCGGTAATTTACTACAGTTATCTGTGTGTGTGTGTGTGTGTGTGTGTGTGTGTGTGTGTGTGTGTGTGTGTGTGTGTGTGTGTGTGTGTGTGTGTGTGTGTGTGTGTGGTGTGTGTGTGTTCACTGAAATGTGCTTGCGAGGTTGAGCGTCAGTTGACTATTCTATAGGATCACGAGCCTGTGAAACGCAAAATGTTATTGGAGCACCTAATAAAAACATTATGTCTTGTCTATTCATCTGAGAATATTGTATGTAGTAATCATGTCTACGGCGACATATATTACAGTGACTGGAAATTAAATTCTCATAGAGTTCTCTTTGCATCCATCTCTCTCTCGGAGGAAGGACTGTCAATTTCATGTTGCGGCCGCATATACCAGAAATAGTCTGATGTACGTGATATTCAAGGTTTTGCATGATTCGTAAACCGGTTTCTTAAGGAGGTAAATATGTTGGCCACTGAAGCATGCAGAGGTGATGGTATCGATTTGATGTGGGCTTCATGAAAGACAGTTCAAGAGTGATAACATATCTCCCAAGTCTTCACTGTTCCTCATTCCAGGAGAATTGCTTACCATTTGGTGCTTTAAGTCCGTCCTCCTGTTATCAGCATCAAGCTTCATAACATTGACTTGCCGGAGTAAAGCTCTAATACACATTCATTGATCATGGGGGGAGCTGGTCGGTCGAGCGGACAGCACGCTGGACTTGTGATCCTGTGGTCCTGGGTTCGATCCCAGGCGCCGGCGAGAAACAATGGGCAGAGTTTCTTTCACCCTATGCCCCTGTTACCTAGCAGTAAAATAGGTACCTGGGTGTTAGTCAGCTGTCACGGGTTGCTTCCTGGGGGTGGAGGCCTGGTCGAGGACCGGGCCGCGGGGACACTAAAAACCCCGATATCATCTCAAGATAACCTCTCAAGATATCATTCCTTCGGCTCATTCATATCATCCGTAATTTACTGCAGTTATCTGCCATATTAATCCTTATTTTTTGCGTCATTAACAAGCAGCATAAGAATGGAGTCTATTCCTCTAGAAAATCCTATAGACTAGAATTTTCCAAACACCTCTGCACTAAGACTTGTCATCCGTGGCATATGAGAAAGGTCTTAGCAGTGACCCTAGTCGGACTCCGGTGGTAACATCTCACCACTCATATTACTCCTTTCACGGTGACTCGGTGTTCTGTTGTTTAGGTAATCCCGTATCCACAAATTCACCTTCTCAGTCACACTTGCCTCTTTATCCAGCTTGTGCACGAGTCTCATGTGTCGAAAGTTTTCCGACAGCCCACAAATATGCTGTCTGGGCGTCTTTCTTTGTCTCCTCTGACTAGGTATATGAGGCAAGATTTTTCTATTTCTGAAATGATGCTGGGGATGAATTATAGAGGCCTTACTAACCTCTTCCTTCCAGTCTTATGCCTTATGCATAGTCTTATACTATGCCAGTCTGCATAGTATGCAACTTGATGCACCGGCAAGTAGTTTAGTACCTTCTTTTAGTTTCCTTTTGTGAATATCTGCATAAAATAATGATCTGTCTTTCAAGATTCTGGTAATTCTCCTGCTTGCAGCGACGTGTTACAAATCGAGGTAATCAAGGATACTATTATCACAATAACGAGGTTGAAGGTATGAAGACTAAAGCCACACTTCAGAAGATGAAGTTGACCAGACCACACACTAGAAGGTGAAGGGACGACGACGTTTCGGTCCGTCCTGGACCATTCTCAAGTCCATCGACTTGAGAATGGTCCAGGACGGACCGAAACGTCGTCGTTTGTTCATTTCCTGATGTGCGGTTTGGTCATCAGGTTATCTTGAGGTTATCTTGAGATGATTTCGGGGCTTTAGTGTCCCCGCGGCCCGGTCCTTGACCAGGCCTCCACCCCCAGGAAGCAGCCCATGACAGCTGACTAACACCCTGGTACCTATTTTACTGCTAGGTAACAGGGGCATAGGATGAAAGAAACTCTGCCCATTGTTTCTCGCCGGCGCCCGGGATTGAACCCAGGACCACAGGATCACAAGTCCAGTGTGCTGTCCGCTCGGCCAACCGGCACCGAGCGGAATTGGAGCATTGGAGCGGTTACTCCAATGCCATGAATTAGTCTATCCGTGGGCAGGGATAAACGTGTTAATTGCCTCTAACTCTTTCTGCTAAAGGTAGTCCATTTTATCCTCTGTGGTCTTCCTTCTGGGTACTTCTTTCCATGTTTTCTTTGATATAAAACGCTCTCAATTCTTCAGTTTGCTATACTGTATGCTAACCATTCACTTCAACATATTCTCTCTGAATATGATTGAGAGAAATGGGCATTCCTACTTTCACCAGATGAGTAAATGTCAGTTCTCATTAACCGTTCATTCTTCACGTTGACTAGTTCATAGTTAATATCAGCTTTAGTTTTACTGGTGATATGTTATCAATTATTCATGAGTGTGTGTACTCACCAGTTGTATTCACCTAGTTGTTGATACTAGGGCGACCATCAGGTCTTAAACTCACATATTTTCGTTCAGTAAAGTGAATCTTTTCACTAGTTTTTCAAATTAGTTGGCAGTTATAACTGTGTCAGTGTGTGTATTCACCTAGTTGTATTCATCTAGTTGTGCTTGCGGGGTTGAGCTCTGCTCTTTCGGCCTGCCTCTCAACTGTCAATCAATTAACTGTTACTAACTACTAACTAGCTAGCGTGAGCGTGCGTGTGTGTGGGCGTGTGTGAACGTGTGTATGTGTGTGTGTGTGTGTGTGTGTGTGTGTGTGTGTGTGTGTGTGTGTGTGTGTGTGTGTGTGTGTGTGTGTGTGTGTCAAGAACAACTGGCTGATCCACACACAAGCAGAACTAGCAGCATTACAACTAGCTACCAGTACATTAAAGAACATTGGAGGAGGAATAATATTTTGTGATTCAAAGTCTGCTCTTCAAGGAATCGAAAACTTCTCCTGGAAGATCGACAGCAAGAACCTCATACTACCAATTATAAATGACCTAATCGCTGCACAGAGCAAAGGGTTTCGAAACTCCTTTGTATGGATACCATCACACAATCATATAACCCATCATAAAGGCACAGATATTGCAGCCAAATTACCATGTAACAAAGATAAAGTTGGATTAGATCTAATTATCCCCATCTCTGCTGTCAAAACTATATTGATCCAAACACTCTGGTCTGATAGGAGAAAAATTACTGACTCCCAACGGCCTGAAAGCACCAGTATAAAAAGCTATAATTTGTTCAGATCCGAAACCTATTTTTATGGGCAGCACAAAACGTGGACCAGACTGTGCGACACAGTCGTTGCCAGGATCAGGTTGGGTTACCGTTACCTGTGGCAGATGGCTACAGGTGACGGATCTCCCAATCCTGAACACTCCAGGTGCAAACTCTGTGAGCAGGAACTACGGCATGATCTCCCTCACTACATCACCGAATGTCCAGTTATCAGACCATTAAGACTCGTTGGCATGAGGTACCTGGAGCTTTGCAATTCCCTTATTTACTCTTGTGTTCTTGAAGATATCCTCATAATGCACCCAGAGTTTGCCACTGCAGACTACTTATAACATGCCTTTTTTATGACTAACCAATCTGTGTGATGTGGATTTTAGCATCACGTAGTTTGCTTTATGACACACTGAACTTCCCTCTATATAGTTTAGCGAAGCTGCATAAATGAAGATGTACCTAAATGTGTTAATTAAAAAAGAAAGGAGGAGGAGGAGGAGGTAGGAGAGGGGAAAGGGAAGAGAGAGTAGGAGAAAATGGGGATAACGAAAGATGAATGGGGAGGGGGGGTCAAGGGGTCAAGGGTAAGGTGGGATAAGTGGATTGAAATAGGGATGCGGAGAGACAGTCTATCCCAGGCACTACTGACTCTTAATCATAGGAATAAAAATTGAATAACTCTGCTATTAATCAGCGATGACCCTATCAATAGGATTAATCCCTGTGATCACCGCTCACCATCAAGGCTAACAACGATTATCTCCACTGAACGCTAACCGCCTATCTCATCCCACTTTCACTCTACCGCGGAAAACTGTTATACTTTCGTTGCAAACCTGTTTGTTGCGAGTTAAGAGTACCTGCCCGACCCGTGGCGGGTGACCAAGCATTGCAACCGGAGGCTTCGTGGCATGCAACTTGCTCCACCTTTAACCTATGACTTCCGCAAGCGGGTAATGGACAGGGTAATGTTGTTCCTCTCAGCCCTCTTGTTATTATAGCTTGTGGAACATTTGTGATGTTTAGTAAACAAAGGGGATGATTGTCAGACTCTATCAGCTCAGGACTAACTCTCTCAGTCAGTCCTGAGCAGCTCCTCCAGTAAGACATACCTGGGCACCTCCGATCCGTTAAATAGGGACTTCTTATTTTCGAGGAGGAGCACCGTCAAGGAGTCGTGGCGTCGTGTCGAGGCGGACACTTAAGGTGACTGGAAATTGGTTGAATATGTAAGCTTTTCTGAGCTTTTTTTTAACTCTGAGAATGTCGCAGTTTGTGGGTCAACTGACTCGCCGGATTATTCCGTCTCTGAGCACTGCACGAGCACTGAACGACCACTCTGCGGTTACTGAGCGGACAACTGTATGGTTATTGAACGACCAGAGCAGGGTTACTGAACGACCAGAGCAGGGTTACTGAACGACCAACGTAAGATACTACTATACGTCTACTGAACGACCACTGTATGACCCCTGTCTTGGTACTAAACAACCACTGTACGACTATCATACGAGCACTGAACATCCAATGCACGAACACTCTGAACGACCATTTTACTAGCACTGAACGACCTCTGTATGTCCACTAAACGACCACTGGACGACCACTTATGGCCAGTGGTCATCATTTACTGCAACATAGTGAAACGAGTTCATATTCCAGCAATTGCTCTTAATACATTGTGATGACGTTCGTATATATAAAGCATATTAACAGTTTATAATAATGTTAATTCTTACGTATCACTACATTAACATGTAAACGAATGAATGCTTAATTTCTCAGTATTAGAGATATTGAGAAAATATAATCGTTTCTCGATACTATTTTTTCATAATTTTGCTTAAATGGAGATAAGATAGAAGTCCAGGTTAAAGAGTTATAGACCAGTTATTTATGCAGTAGAATAAGGAAGTACTGCAGCATCCGGGTCAAATGAGATCGTCTAGCCGGACTCACATCTCCCGGATGCTGCTCCTCTCCTAGACCTTTCCTAGACGAAACACCCAAGTTGCACTGCCCCACTACCCCCTCATGCTTAATTCTCATCCAGTCTCACCACCTCCGTCTCACGTCGGCCAATAGTTCCAGCTCCCAATACAGACTATAATCCAAGCCACAACCTCAGCCATACGTAAACCCTATCACCCACCGCAGACCATAAATCCAGCCTCCATTACCGAGAGCTGAACCTCGCTTTCCAGTAAACACGGATTGGTAAGTTCCGTCCTCCTGTTATCAGCATCAAGCTTCATAACATTGACTTGCCGGAGTTAAGCTCTAATACACATTCATTGATCATGGGGGAGCTGGTCGGTCGAGCGGACAGCACGCTGGACTTGTGATACTGTGGTCCTGGGTTCGATCCCAGGCGCCGGCGAGAAACAATGGGCAGAGTTTCTTTCACCCTATGCCCCTGTTACCTAGCAGTAAAATAGGTACCTGGGTGTTAGTCAGCTGTCACGGGTTGCTTCCTGGGGGTGGAGGCCTGGTCGAGGACCGGGCCGCGGGGACACTAAAAACCCCGATATCATCTCAAGATAACCTCTCAAGATATCATTCCTTCGGCTCATTCATATCATCCGGTAATTTACTGCAGTTATCTGCCATATTAATCCTTATTTTTTGCGTCATTAACAAGCAGCATAAGGATGGAATCTATTCCTCTAGAAAATCCTATAGACTAGAATTTTCCAAACACCTCTGCACTAAGACTTGTCATCCGTGGCATATGAGAAAGGTCTTAGCAGTGACCCTAGTCGGACTCCGGTGGTAACATCTCACCACTCATATTACTCCTTTCACGGTGACTCGGTGTTCTGTTGTTTAGGTAATCCCGTATCCACAAATTCACCTTCTCAGTCACACTTGCCTCTTTATCCAGCTTGTGCACGAGTCTCATGTGTCGAAAGTTTTCCGACAGCCCACAAATATGCTGTCTGGGCGTCTTTCTTTGTCTCCTCTGACTAGGTATATGAGGCAAGATTTTTCTATTTCTGAAATGATGCTGGGGATGAATTATAGAGGCCTTA